TTATCGCGGGGCTTCAGGGTACGGATCCCCCGCGATAAACGAGGGACTACTATAGAGGCTTGCCGTCTTTAAAAATGTTTTATTTGGCAGATTAAATGTGCTGCTCGTTGCTCTTGCTTTGCAATTGTAAGAACGCAAAACCACAATTATTTTAAGTATAGTATAGTTCAGATATTTTGAAGTGGAATTATGTGGAAAGATTATGAACAATAAATATCTTACGTGTTGTAGATAGCACTTGAACACCCTCAGTGTTTAATTCTGACCAGATCAACAAGCTAATGTCTAGTCTGACACTGGGCCAAAGTGGATCACCGCCGTCTTAAAACAACAATCTCTCAAAAGATATTATATCAGTTTAGGCAAATGTTGTTTTATAAATATATGCACCACTGTCAATTTTGCATGATGAGGTTTATAACAATTTGTGGGCATAACTTGCATCAGTAGCTACTGTAGCTGTAGGCACAGCTTGGAGCATTTCTAGCTGGAATATCATCATATTTCTGCCATATTAAATGTGTAAAGGTGAAACTGACAGTATTTTTTGGATTATAAGGCGCATTAAGTGAAACAAAACGGTTTGATAAGTCAAACTTTTTTTCACCTCATTTACCAAAACCACATAATATCAGTTTGAGGTCACTAACTAAAATTAATACATAAGGCGCACCTAATTATAAGGCTCACTGTCGATTTTTGAGAAAATTAAAGGATTTTAAGTGCGCCTTATAGTCCGAAAAATACGGTAAAGGTTTATTTTAAAAAGTGCTTGTATGAACTGCTCTGAAATCTTTGAGGGAAAACAGCAAAACTCCACTCAGGCTGGAGGTTATTTAGTTGATCAGGCCAGAAAGACACTTCTTTTATTTCAAACTGAAGCCAATTAAATAGTTATCTACAACAGGTAAGATAATTATTCATTACCTTTACACAGAACCTCACTTCAAATATCTAAACTCTTCTTTTAAAGTAATAATCTTTTTAAAGTAGGTTTAATTTAAGCCGTCAAATATTTCTTCCACTTCCTCCCCATCCAGTTCATAAAATGACCAACAGATGAAATCAAATTCTGCTAAAGAAAGCTGCGTCACTGTGTTACACAGCGTTACAGACATGTTTCTTTAAGAATGTGAAGCAGTTTGTACCTGATTGTTGTTTTGTCTGGCAGCCATCTGCTCCCTCAGACTCTTCAGACAGTATCGCACCTAGAAACAGCAAAACTGTTTTTAAAATGCTTCACAAGCACAAATATGGCTCTGCAGTGTTCTGGCGTAGCAGTAAAATGTTGACTTGTCTTCAAGGCAGCTCTGTCTGACACCAACCTCCTGAATCTGTGACACTTCGTCCGTCAGCATCCTGACGCTCCGTGTCGCCTCCGTCCGAGCTTCAAGGTAAACCTGAAGAGCAAACAACGTGGGAACTGAGAGGTGGCTCACACAGACGCACCCCTTCACAAGCTTCTTTTTATGTAAATACCTTAATTACTTCCACTTCTTCTCCCGTGGGAGTGATGAGCTCGGCAGCTCGTTTCGGTTGCGCTTTCTGTGGAAGCACAACCGCTACGCTGCCCGATTGATCCTGATCCTTTCTGGGAAGTCTGCGGTGCTCCTGGAGTGAAAGATGAGACGATAAAAGGATGAGTGGAACATTGAAGGTGGGAGGGCTGAGAAAAAGAAAAGGACAACCAGTGAAATGAGAGAAGAAGAGCTCCGAATGAAAGCAAAGGCGGAGCAGAGGGAGGGAGAAGGGGCGGATTTTAGTCGTAAAACTTCCTCCGTGGATGCCCCCTCGGTCAGAATGGAGAACCTGGCAACCAACAACGAGGAGACATTTCCACTGAGCTCTTGTTAAAAACAACAACAACAACAAGGCTGCAGATTCTGACCGCAGCTTAAAAAACAACAAAGCAGTTCAGAGCAGACGAAGCTAAAAATACAAACACTGAAAAGCTCTTCATTCGTCATCGTGGCTTTGTCCCCTTGGCAACAAAAGCTAAATATTTTTTGTTTGTCCTCCACGCTCACTTCAAATTATTTATAGATACTTTAAAACTACCACATGAATCAGGAAATTACTAAAAATATCCAGCAAATAAACAGTCATGTTTATAAAAATAGGAATTAAATAATAAAAAAAAAAAATTAAAAATCCGTCCCAGACCTGATTCAGATGAACCGTTCTTCAGCAGATCAAAACTGTAAGTCAGGTTTTTCACTCATGGCTTTTTGAAAATCATCGTGTTGATGCTGAAATATGTGCCAAACTTTCATCCAAAGGACTTCATCAGTCCGAGGAGCCACAACAAACTGAGTCCCACAAGCACCAAACCCATAGTGAACTAACCAGTTTGCTGGTGATAAGACGGTTTCTGGGGCATGCCCTCTCAGGCAGCCATAGCTAAAGTGATTCAAAACATCAAAGATCATGCTCAACAATCCAGGTAAAAAAATCCCACAAAGTTCAGTCAGGTCACCTGGATGGTTTATTTTTTGGATGTTTTAAACCACTTTGGCTATGGCTGCCTCAGAGGAGTTGACAGGGGAGAGGGCGGGCCCCAGAAACCATCTTATCACCAGCAAACTGGTTGGTCCACTATGCAGGTGTGCTGCTTCTGGGACTCAGTTTGTCGTGGCTCCTTGGACTGATGAAGTCCTTTGGATGAAGAACGAAACATCTCAATAAAAACAAAAGAAACTGTCCAGATGACCTGATTGAACTTTGTTGGATGTGTCAAACTGTTTTGTCTTTAGTATTTTTCATAGATAAAATCAAACGCATACACGCACATACATAGTGTTGTTACAACAGGCTGCTGGTAACCAGTGGGGAACCCTCAGAGCCTTCTATGCCTTCAGAGAAGGCCCATAAAATCAGCACATATTACATTTAAACTTTAATTTTGTAATATATAAATATAGATTTTTAATGTGGTTCTTCTTTTTTGCTCATTTCTCTTATTTTCTGTAAACTCTTTTGCAGTTTAGTAAGATTATTATTATTTTTTTTTTTAATTCTATGAAAATACAGTTATCCAATCAGATTCTCTGAAACTTGTCAGAAACACATCGATTAGGACTTCACTGTCAGGAGAGAAGGCAAAGCTGAGTTAGAGGGTCTGTAGCACGAGTTTAACAGCTGACGGGAAAATTAACCAATCACAACGTTGATGGAGAGCGGGTCGGACCAAAACGGTGTTCTGGATGAGTTGGACCAGAGAAAAGTGGAAAGTTTTCCACAGGTTTCAACCCACACGTGTTGTTCCAACAACACCAGTAAAGAGGGAACAAAAAGGCTTTCTAACGTTACAGGATTTATTGCCAAAAAACCTCGTTACACCCAAAAAATATCAACCAAACACAGATTTCTTTACTTTTTGTGCTAATATTATTATGTGTTCATAACTTTTCCTCAAAAGCCCACCTCAAAAGATCTGAACTTTTCTGTTAACAAGTGTTTAACTCAGCATGCACAGTTAGAAGAACGTATTGTCTTCTGTAAAAAATGTGTCAGGTAAAATCTCTAAACACAGCAAACCTTTCAGATCCTGTACTTCCTGTAACTACACCATCACCCTCGGAAAGTAAGTCAGTAAAGTTTATTTTGCTTTTTTTTCACGAAATGTAGTTGATTTTTATTATTATTTTAGATTAATCTTTGTTCTTTGCTAATCATCAGAAACCTTTGGGATTAGGTGACAAGAGTTTTCAGCCAGTTTTCATATTTTGGTACCACTTGAACCCAGTTTCTTGCATTTTATTTTCTGCACTTTTAAGCTTTATTTCCCTCCATCAAATCGATTTCAACGAATATTTGTCAGGAACAACTTAGAGAATAATAACACCTGTGACAAACAGAAGAAATTAAGCAACAATATTGGATTGAACAAAACTATTAAAAGAAATAAGTCTTATAAGAAAGTCTTATTATTTGATAGTGTTCACAAATTAATTATTGACTTAAAAAAGCGTGAACATACAGAAGTTAAAGCATAAACTGATAAAAAAAATAATTTAGATTTGTTTAGTGGTTTATAAATACAGTAGAAGAGTATGCAGTCTGGCAGCAGCTGAAACTTCATTGATACTTCAAACATTTTGCGACAAATCGTCCAGTTTTTGTCAGAAAAGTACACAAACTTTGCTCAGAGCCGTCACTGTTCATGTGTTACCATCCCAAACTATATTTCAAAGTCACACCATAAGCGAACAATTTGTCACACGGTAAAACGAAGCTGCTCCATCACTGTTGATGTGTGCACTTAAAGCCATTTGCTGAAACTCCCTGTGGGTATTTACTGTGAAAATAACACCTGAGAGTCACACGCACGTTTGTTACATACCACAGCCTGAAACACTAGAACTCATATGCAAGCGTCCAAACCATTTAAACCATCTCATTTAATGAAATAAAACTGAACGCAGCTGATTTTTCTCTACGTTTTAACCCACGATGAACAGCAGACGTCAAACGTAATTATTTAACTGCTCTCTCGTTCCAGGGAACAGTCACAAACGGTTATTACCAAGGAAGAGCAAACAGAAAGTGTATCTGTATTCTGTCATCGAATAGTTTGAGGTCGTCACAATTAACCAGGAAGCACTTAAAACTATTCCAGACTTTAATGTTTTAATCTGTTAAGCATTCACAACCACTGTTAAAAAATAAAAATAATAAAGTGAGAATGTATGATTGTCGTGGTTTGAACCGAGACAAAACTAACCAAATAATTTCTGCATATTTTGAGCTATTTTGTTTATTTTTTTATCAAAATGTTCAGCAAAATTGGGACTAGTGCATTTTCTTTTTGTAACTTTGTAGCTCAAACTCCTCCATAAAGCAAATCAAGAAACTTAAATTCTATCAAAACATTGTTCTCTTTAACAAAGTCCATGCTCAATAATCCAGGTATAAAATCCAACATTTTTCAGTCAGGTCATCTGGACAGGTTCTTTTTTTTGTGCTGAAACGTTTCGCCTTCGATCCGGAAGGCTTCATCAGGATCATCATCAGGATTTTATACCTGGATTATTGAGCATGGACTTTGTTGTTTTCAACCAGTTTGACAAGACTGTCAACAAGGAAGAGGGCACAAAGAGACCATCTAAATCACAAGCAGAACTGGTTTGTTCCAATTTGGAGTAAGCTGTTGGGGGAAGAATCAGTTTTGTTGTGCGTTTCCTTGACTGATGAAGCCTTCTGGATCGAAGGCGAAACGTTTCAGCACAAAAAAAGAAACTGTCCAGATGACCCGACTGAAAAATGTTGGATTGTTCTCTTTAGATTTTACTTCAGCATAATGGTTTTATTTTTTCTTAAGCTAATCTCACATTTTAGTCACTGTTTTGATAAGCAAAGTTTAGCTTTTGCTACAATTATGCCAAACATAGTTTAGTTCATTTTGTTTAGCTACAATTTTGCTACATTTAGCTTTATCTACAGTTTAGCAAAACATAGTTTTTAGCTTATTTCAACTTTTGCATCCTGCTCTGCTCATTTTAGCTTGAAGCAACCGTTCTGTTTGTTTTGTTTTTAGCTATTGTTCTGCTCATTTAGGTTTTAGTTACTGCTCAGCTCATTTTAGCTTGCATTCTGCTCATTTTAGCTTGCATTCTGCTCATTTTAGCTTACAAAGTACTCATTTTAACTTGGATTATACTTGTTTTAGCTCACGTTCTGCTCGTTTTAGCTTGCGTTCTGCTCGTTTTAGCTTGCGTTCTGCTCGTTTTAGCTTGCATTCTGCTTGTTTTAGCTTGCATTCTGTTCGTTTTAGCTTGCATTCTGTTCGTTTTAGCTTGCATTCTGCTCGTTTTAGCTTGCATTCTGCTCGTTTTAGCTTGCATTCTGCTCGTTTTAGCTTGCATTCTGCTCGTTTTAGCTTGCATATTACTCATTTTAACTTGGATTATGCTCATTTTAGCTCACATTCTGCTCATTTCAGCTTGCATTCTGCTTGTTTTAGCTTGCATCATGCTTGTTTTAGCTCACGTTCTGCTCGTTTTAGCTTGCATTCTGCTCGTTTTAGCTTGCATTTAACTTATTTTGGCTCACGTTCTGCTCGTTTTAGCTTGCATTCTGCTCGTTTTAGCTTGCATTCTG